TTCATTTTGTTTCAGTTTATTTGGTCTTCGCTGTCTTTAAGAAACCATTTATTTCAAAATAAATGATATTTCTAGTTTGGGATGATTTTCTTCTTCTTTTGTCTGTTGAGTTTCTGAGTAAAAAGTGAAAAGATTACTTCCCCTTCCAATAGGCTTTTGCCTTCTCATAGTGTAGAAATCTATCAAAAATGCTTCCATAGGCTGGTGCAAGAATATTCAGCAGAGGGAATAATATATATTAATACTATGATCAAGTGTCATTACAGGTAAACATATTTTGAAACAACACTTCAATGACAATACTTGGCCAACATATGTAGTACACCTCTTAAAATGAAAAGGTAAATCCATAATAGCACTGAACTAAATTCTTAAGAACAGTATAGAGTGGTGATATTTATGCAATGCATCAAGCTGACTGCTGCTAGCGCGCTACGTCTTTAGCTTCATGAACTATGATAATGGACAAAGGCCAGAATAAATAGGACCGCAAAAACATCGCACCACATAAAACAGCCAGTCCAGTCATATGGTGACCACGGTTACTTCTTAATCTTCTCTATGCATATAGAAAAACTAGGCATTGTAAGTAACTAAAACTGTAGCTACTGCTGGCCTGCTGCTGATAATGTTTAGCCAGGAGAAGCAGTCATATTATGACTTGCTAGTAGTGTACTAAAACTTGGAACATCTGCTTCACTCATCACCCAATCCGGCCCTCGCCTTCAAATGTAGCTTGAAGTCCATAATGTCACCCTTCCACCGTGTCACAGTTTTATTTTCACATACCCATATCTCATGGGCGACCTGGTTTATGAGCCTGAAATCATGACTAACAAGAACCATTCCACCATCCCATTCATTCAAAGCCTCGGCAAGTGAGTCAATTGTCTCAATATCGAGATGGTTGGTTGGCTCATCGAGAAGCAGCATGTGAGGTTGTCTAAAAGCTAACCACGCAAATATAATCCGGCTACGTTGACCATCTGACAAGTTTTTCATAGGCATTACTTGAGCTTTACCAGTAAGGCCAAACCTCCCAATTGATGCCCTCATCTTCTCCTCCTCATTCCCAGGATACTCTTTTATCATGAACTGAAGAGCAGATAATTCCATGTCAAGCTTCTCAGCCAAGTGCTGGTGGAACTGTGCAATCCGCAGGTGATTATGCCGCCTAACCATGCCATCAAGGGGAACCAACTCCCCTGTCATCAGCTTAAGTAGCGTGCTCTTTCCAGCTCCATTAGGTCCCACCAGTGCTACCCTTGAATCAAGGTCTACACCAAAATCTAGGTTCTTGTAGATGAGATTCTCGGGTGTGTAGCCAAATGTCACTTCCACAAACTGCAGAACAGGAGGGGGAAGTTTGCCAACATTAGGAAAACGGAAGACCAGGACCTTGTCCTTTGCCACCTTCTCTGTAAGCCCTCCACGCTCCATCTTAGCCAGTGTTTTCTCTTTACTTTGTGCTTGACGGGCTAGTTTGGCAGATCCATGTCCAAAACGAGCAATGTACTCCTTCATTGAAGCAATCTGCTCCCGCTCCCATCTGTACTGTTTCATCTGATTTTCTTCCAACTCCTCACGGGTTTGGACATATTGATCATAATTACCAGTGTAGAGCTTCAACGTCTTATTTTGCATATGGATGATGTTAGTACACACACCATTTAGGAAGTCTTGCGAGTGTGAAACAACAACCAGAATACGGTCAAACTTCTTCAAGGTTTCTTCTAACCACACGCAAGCCTCTAGGTCTGTATTCAGGAAAAGGATATCATAAGCATTTCAAATCTAAAAAATCTGAGATTGAAGGATCCAGCAAACCTTCCATTAGTATGAAGAAACAACAATTTAGGAGGGAACTTCGCATCACTACTTAGCAGAGGGAAACAGACACAGAAAGACACACTAGGAGAAATGCTGTAACCAGAGTGAAATAACATGTCTAAGGTCTCATATTAAATTTTATAACGTCAGTTTTCATTATATTAATTCATCCAGAATGTAATAAACAATGTCTCCAACCAAAAATATCGCAACACAATATCTTATACACTAGAAAAATCCATAAGAAGATTACCTAGATGATTGGTGGGTTCATCAAGCAGCAAAATGGTCGGATTCATAAACAGGGCACGAGCAAGAGCAATCCTCATCCTCCATCCACCGGAAAAATCTCGTGTTTTTTGTTCTTGCATTTTCTTGTTAAATCCAAGACCGAACAGTATTTCAGCTGCACGCTTCTCAGCAGTTGATGCGTCCAAAGCTTCCAAACGCTCATAGATGCGTTCAAGTTGCTCTCCACCACCATCATCCTAAGGATAGACACGAAACGAGTTATCAGTTAGCCAAAAAAAAGTAGACCAAGCCCGTGGAATACATTGCTAGTTCATTATTCAGGGCATAATACCTGTGCAGCCAAGACTTCAACTTCTTTCTCCAATCTCAACCTCTCTTCATCGCAACTAATAACAGCTTGAAGTGAGGACATGTCAGACGCTTCAATCTCCCGCGTTAGATGAAAGATATCCATATGATCTGGGATGGGAAGTTCACGACATCCTATAGCAGAAAGAAGAGTAGACTTCCCACAGCCATTAAGCCCAAGCAAACCATAACGTCTGTGCAATTAATATCCCAGGATATGACCATCAGCTATAGTAAGGAAACAGCAACACAAAGATATAACAAACCTTACCTTCCGTAGTTAAGCTCCAGTTCAGAATCAACTATAAGATCATGTCCATGAAAAGTAAGTGATAACGATTCTATCTGCAAACAAAGAATACCAGAATTAATATAATTGCGGGTCTTGCATGAAAGAAAACTTCCTCTAGGTAATAATCTTTTTTATAGTTACTGTAAGTCCAAAACCATAAGAGGGGTGCTTCTTGTTCATGAGTAATGATAGCCATATGCAACTTCACCAATCAAGACCCCTGTTCCTAACTACGTGAATATGGGATAGATTCAGCTATTGACTGATTCTTCTTAATTGAGAAATCTCTGAGGGCTAGTGACACATGGTTTGAGACCGTTACACGCAGCTAACCCGCACATGTGGTTTGCCCTCTTACCGCTAGACCAAAGCCCCACGGCTATAAACTGATTAAGGTACCAAGATATGGAATATCACACTATGCACAAAAACACCCAAGTGATTGTTCTAGTGCAACGGAGATCAAAGAAATGAACAACCAAAGGATCATAGGAGTCTTAAGTTAGCAATAACGAATAACGAAAGGAGATAAACCCATGAATCAAAAAGATCATCTACAAGTATTTAGAGAGTGTATTGCAAAAAACATCCAAGACCAGATCATTGGTGTTTTTATAATTTAGTATGTTCTTCTTTTTTTAAAAAAATATATATTTTTTTTCATGATATCTTTTTAGATTCATCGTTCAACTATTTTCATGGGCAATAATAGTAACAATTTCTACAAAATTCAGGTAAAATTTTGCTAACTTGATTGAAATGATTTCCACTTATATATTTCCAGTTTCAAGTCACTATAGTTTGGAAATACTCTCAATTCCTAAATATATATATATAGTTAAACAGAAGCTTTTCCCCTATTTATCAAACTAGATTTTCCGGCGCTTAACAAGGTAATATATCCAACAGTTCAATTCCAGAAAACCCAAAGGAACTAACCCGAATATCCCTGGAAAGTGGATGTGAACATAAAACGCCGGTACAGGTCCGATCAGACAACTGAATTTCTCCTACACCATTCGTCAATTCATCGACACCGTTACTCTCCGACGGAGTAGATGTTGCAGCCGCTGCCGCCTTCATCACCGCCGCCTTAGACTTCCCTCCTCTCTTCGCAGCTGCTGCTGCCTTCTTCTGCGCCTCTCTCTTCTTACTCGCATCCGACACCATCTATCAATTCAGAAAAGAAAAGAAAAACTCTCCGATCAGAAAGCAAAAACTACAATAATATGCAATTTAATCCAAAAAAAAATAACCTGGAAAAAAGTTGCAATAATCAGATGTGTATGAGGGTTTTGAGTGTTGAAGGAGAAGTTTGATGAATATTTATAAGAAGATTGTGGGAAGAAGATGATACACGTGTCAGTTTTACTGTTGAAGTTCAGGAGAATTTGATCGGTGATGCTTTTTAGAATTTCTCTTCTTATTTAAGTTGCGTAAATTGACTAAAAACTGAAAATGTCGCACTGATTATTTGACATATGAGAAAAATACCACGTCGATAAAAAATGTTAGTTACGGCTCACCCTCATAGAATAAAATAAACTAAATTCAGGTAATTGAGACCATTGATAATTAAGGAGGATTACAAATTTAAAATGGTCTGTGGCTGGTATTATTTTCCACTTTTCTACTGTTACGTAACTCGTCAGCATAATATATAGGCAGTGTAAGTTTCAAGAAAAACACATAATCAATAATCACATCATGTTGGAAAAATAATTCAAATTGATACCTGTTTTCAGCGATTAATTTATTTGGTTATTTTTTACTCCATTTAAAACCAAAAGGGAAAGCTAAAATGTAATTTTTTATGTTGTCATCTTTTTTTTTTTACTAGATAGAAATGTAAGAACATAACATGTCATGTGAGTAATGAAAAAATGAGAGTGCTTGGATTAAATATTTTAAAATAAGAAAATGTAATCAAATATATTTGTTTGGGAAAATATGTTCCAACCAATTTTTAAAGTGTTAAAAATTAAGTGCAACAATTGAAAAGACTGCACAAAAATAGGGCAAGGAAAGTGGAAAATAAAGCGTCAGTCAGTCTGTCTGCATCTTAATCTCCCTTGTTTTTGTCTACACAAAAGCAATTGCCTCCACTCTAAAATAGAGATTTCTAGCATAAACTTGTCTCAAATTAAAGTTGTTTTTAAATATTTTGTGAGTAATTTGAATTGAAAAATGCATAAACAATCCTACCAAATGAACGAACCAATGAGAGCATAAGTAGACAATAGAACAGTAGAAAATCAAGTACTCCATACACTCAACATAAATATAAAAATATTTCTCCTACTAATACTAATGTCAGTAACAATTCATACAAAAGTTTTACTAGCAAAAAGGGTATGGAAGTGTTCATAATTAAGCCAATTCAACAATAATGATATCGAAACTTCCTATTTTGTTATTTACAATTTTCATCCACATTTTTTTTTCTAAAACTGTCACATAATACTGCAAGCATTAGCATTTTCATCACTGAAAAGCTGAGTAGCATGAATTGCAGTTGCATCCAGCTCCGGGTACTCATACTGCTCCCTCTTCTCGCCGCCGCCGCCGCCGCCGCCGCCTTGCCCATCCTTCCCTTTTTCGTTTCCCTTCCCTCCACCTCCGCCTTCTTTCTTCTCTCCTCCTTCCTTCTTTGACGGGACAATTTGGACATCTTTCTTCAGCTGCTTCTTCAGTGCCTCTACCAGTTCCTTCATGTCCATTGAACCTGTCACTGTCATCAACTCCTTTTCGTGATCAATTTTCATCTCCTTGTAACCTGCATTGCCCGTGGAAATAACTATAGTTAGTAAAAAGGGGAGAATAAGAAGAATGTTGATTAATCAAACTCACCTTTGTTTTTAGTTATTGTTTTTTGAATCTTCTGGATGCATCCTTCGCAATGTAGATGCAATTTCAGTTCCACAGTGGTTACCGGAGGCTACATGGAGAATTAATCAGTAAGCACATAAATCCCTCAGCCATAAAAGGCTAAACTGCGCCTAATGCATTAAAAGACAAAAACAGAATACAACAGAATGAAAACGACGTAAACAGGTTTGTACAGAATAGTGAACAGAGAATAGGAGCATTACCTCTTTCTCTTTGGTTTTCTTGTCGTCTCCTTTGCTACTCTTTGAGTCATTTTCATTCTGCTTCTTCTCTTTCTTACAATCCTTTGGTAAAGGAGAGATAAGTTGTACAGGCCTGTTCATCTTTCGCTCCAACTTCTCCTTTAGCTTCAATGCATCCACTTCTCCGATTGCCGTCACCTTATTGGCTTCGCTATCACAGGTCACCTTCTCCACGCCTTTTTCAGCCGTAACAAACCAGAAGTTAGAAAAATCAGAGACAAGGAACCGCACAGCTTGGATGGAAACAGAGCAACATTCACAATAATCTGTGTGAAATCTAACTTGGAAACAAAACAGAGCAACGTAACAATGATTTCTACCTTCAAAGCTTCGAACGGTTTTGAGAATCTTACGGACGCAACCTTGGCAATGAAACTCCACTTTCAAAACCACATTTCGATTGTTCTGTTCATTCTTTCCTCCTTCCTTCTTCTCCTGGTGCTGTTCTTCGTTCTTCTTCTCGCCTTCAATATTCTTGATGCTGCTCTTATTCTGCAAACCTCACACAAAATCAGTTAGCCTTATCAAATCATGGACACAGAACAATGAGAAAAATAAATTAAAATCGAGAATCAATTTTCAAGTCCTTACCTTCCCCATTGTACTGCACCAAAACTACTCCTAAAACAGATAAAGGGTTGAAGTGTATTTATAGGGGGGTGGGGCTAGGTAGCGTGAGGAAGAAAGGGCGCAGTTGTACGGCATACATATTCATAGTATATTTTTCCATTTATAACAAAGGCAAATGGATCAAAAGAATTTTAAAGACAATTAATCCAAAAATTTGTTTTTACTATAATAAATGAAATTAGTAACAACTTACTTGTAAATTCAAAGAAGCAAGTGGGGAGGGCATAGCAAATTCGTTAAGAAAGTTTAAAAGTTGAAATAATCAATAAATTCATTGTGAATAATCAAAAAAGTTTTTGGGAAAATGAATTAAATTTAAACGGATTGAATCGTAATTGACTCGTATATGAGGGCATAGCAAATTCGTTAAGAAGTTAAAAGTTGAAATAATCAATAAATTCATTGTGAATAATCAAAAAAGTTTTTGAGAAAATGAATTGAACTTAAACGGATTGAACTGTAATTGACTCGTATAAATATGAATAAAAATAAATTTGGTCAAATATGAAATTAGTAAAATGATCCCAAAGGAAAAAAAATAATGAAAAAAAAAGGGAAAATAATAAATTAAACTAACCCAAAAGGGAAAGACAAGCAAAACTGACAAGAATATATCAATTTTGAATAAAACTAATAAGAGTATATCATATAGTAGTTAATCAATTAAAGCATTTTGGTGTTAGAAAATAGTAAATTAGATATGTTACAACTTTTACACATTAATAAATTTACGTTTAAAGAATTGTTAAAAAAAAAGTTTTATATTCTAAATCATAAGGAAGGTCAATGTAATCAAACGAAATTTAGAGAAGGGAATTTTTTATTTGTTAAATATGAAAAAAGAAAATCTTTTTATAATACTTGCTAGTTTTAAAAATATATTTCCTGATTTTTGATGGGAAATTGACCTTTTAAAAACTTCAATTATTCCTCAAATCGACTTTATATACCGTAAAAAATCTCTGTCAAGATAAACCTAATCCAGAGTACAATGAGTTGGGCCTGATGTTGTTGGGCTGGACTATTCATATCTCCTTTAGCAATTGCATTAAAACTGGGTGATTGATCCAGTGGATCATTTGCACAAATAGGATTACTCTGGCTATTATTTTATTTTTATCACCATTTGCACATTTTCCAAAAGTAGATGTTTAAGAAAAATAACCACATCAATTTCATAATTTTGATACAATATCATTTCTTATAAATATTATTTTGGCTACACGTTGATTTCAAATGTTAAAGTATACACAATTCATTAATTAGGATTATCTTTTTGGTTAATTTTTGAAGATTAGGTTTTAGAAAAACTGTCGTTAGACATGTTTTTTAAGTGAGTCGTATGTCTAAATGTACAATTTTAACTTTCAAATATCATGTTATAACTTTAATTTCGGTTCTTATTTTATTTTTGTCAAATATCACTCAATTTATGTCTAAACGGATACTAATTAATTTCATATCCTTCTGTTATCTCCACTAGCTGATGAAGTAGGTAAATATAAATAATTCAGTAGACACAGATATAGTTGTTCACATAAATATTTACTTCTGTTTATTCTTCAGCATATGGTTTGCCTTCCCTCCTAATTCTTAAACATTAAAATAAATATTGATACTAACGATTTATACTTATTTTTTATATTTTCATATTTTTATATGTATATTTTGTAATAAATAAATGATAAAAGTAGTATCGAATAATACCTCTTGCCATAAAGATACCTCCAGCCACGGCCCATGGATATATATATATGTATATAATAGTATATCAGCTTAACTTAGCGTATATTTTACATCATTTTCTTTGTCGATTTTGTTATTTCGAACAAGAAAACTATACATTTGTAATGACAAATCCAACATAAAGTCGTGGCGGAGTAAATTTTTGCGATGACTATGACTGCAGGGAACGGGATAACTCTGATTTTAAAGGTTGTTTGGTACGTGAGATTAAGATAATAATTTCAAAATAAAATTTAGGGAAAAGGGTCTGATATACCCCTCGACTTTGTCATTTAAAGCTGATATACCCCTCGTTATAAAAGTGACTCATATATGCCTTTACCGTTATACAAACGGCTCACATATACCCCTGCCGTTACAAAATGACTCACATGTATCCTTCAATTAACGGAAGTTAAAACATTAGTTTTAAATTTATATTTATTACTTCTAATTTTTATAAAAAAAATTATTTAGGGGTATATATGATTCTTCTATCAAAGTTCAAGGTATATTTTAATTTTTTTCATACATAAATTATTTTTTGACTTCTTTTATTATAATTATTTGAGTTTCTTATTCTTATTTTGTTTTTTTCTTTCATTCCTTAGTTTAAAGAAAAAGAAATTAAACTATTTTTTTGTGTGTATTGTAATTTAATTTCGTATTCGAAGAAAAAATTTGGTCATCTACAATAAGTTTTACAAGAATATTTGTGAAACATAAATAAATTTGATTATCAAAATAATAATTATAAATTAGTCATTGAAACAAAAAAAGTCAAAAAAAATATGTTTGACGAGGATTAAATTTACTCATATGGGATTATATTTTTTAGAAAAAAAATAATAAATATTTAGATTAAAATTAATATTTTTTTCATTTCCGTTAGAGGAAAAAGGTGTATGTGAGCCATTTGTTTACAAATTAGGGTACATATGAGTCACTTTCATAACAAGGGGTATATCAGCTCTAAATAACAAAGTTGAGGGGTATATCAGACCATTTTAAAATAATTTTTAATTTATCACGTGTTTAATTTAAGATATTAACTAATTCCAAAATTATTTTATCTCATTATTCACACTGAAATAATGAAATTAGTATCTAATATAGACGATAAAATAAAATGATTCAATATTATATTTTTATTTGTCACATGCATTACTAAACGACCCCTTAAATGTACTGGATAAAGGGTCCTTGATATTCTGGATTTTGGTGTTGGTATCAAAGACCTTGGGCCTACAGTATCAATCCATAGACCTGTCGTGACAATTTATGATATTATAGTATTATGGCTATTTTTTTTTTTTACTTTTTATTTCGCATAAAATTTATTGAGATCTGATTAATTTAAATTTACATGTAAAAATATATAAAAAAAGTTACTTACTTTTTACTGAAATCAACTTCTACTAAAGAATCGATTAGTTTAGAATTAAAAATTGCATATAACTCTAGCATATCATAGACGCGATGGCTAGAATAAAGTAAATAAGAAAAGAAGGATTCTTATATAAATAACATACTAGATTTATCATTAAGTTTCTAATATGATATACGCATTGTTAACGCTCATTATACACAATGATACGTGTATTTTACATATAGTATAATATTTTTTGTTCTAGAAAATGCATCTAATAGTCATTCATTCAACTACTTAAAACTAAAATTATCTTATGAATGTATAACACAAGCAATCGTAAAATTTATGCATAAACATCTGTGTGATCATCTATAATTAATATATGATCTAAATATATTTATTAAAAGAAGTTAGTAATTGTTACATTTATATGTATACTTCTATGAAATGTACCTTTTCTTTTCTTGTTTTTATATTTATTGTATCGTTGATATTTTCAGTCTAACATAGTTGAAATATTCATGTTCACACCCTAAATATCATAAGCCAACCACAATCCAGATAGTTTATGAGAACGACCTACATAGATAACGAAATGTATCGAACTTTTTTTCTTTTTTTGAACATGTTCTTTGCACTATAGATGTATAATATCATATTTTATTTGTCTACTATATTAGAATATGTTCTCCATGTATTATAAATTTTAATAAATAAACTGAATTTCTTTCTATATACTTATTCTTAGCGTTAACTGTATATCCTTCAAGTTATTTCGTAAAATTATAATTTAAATATGCATTAAAACAGGGACATATGACATAATCTTACTCGTTAATCCGATATTTAATAAATATAGAATCTATGGATAAAATTATGACGTATGTATGTCCGTTGATATAAAGGGTATATATATTATAGATTTTGAACTGTGGAAGCACCAATATATCCTAAAAATATGATGAATGGTATTTACATACCATTTGCAATAGTTTGATTTCATCATTACTCTAAAATACATTCAAAATTCAAACCTAATAAATAAAAATGAATGAAAAAAGTAATTCGTTATTATAATCAGGTATATATTGCATTGTGTAATAATTATATACAAGGGAAAAGGCATAGATTTCTCCTTGAATTTGTCTCGAAAATTCAGTTACACACTTAAAATATCGTGATGATCTATTACAGACATGAACTTGTTTAAAGTGATATTAATGACCCCTTCCGAAGACAATCTCAATTTTTATGTGAGAAAATGTTTTACACGTGTGTTGATGACGTACATATATTATTTTATATTTTTTAACCGTTTTCCTTTACTATTTTCTCACTTCCCCAAAATAGTTACTTCTACTCCATCTCTTTACCTTTTAAAATTCATTTCTTCTTCTTTTTACATAAACTGAAGTAAAAAGAGAGAAAACAAGACGGAAATACTAAGATGATTATCAAGTAAGAGATGTTGGCAGTGGTGATAGGCGGGGGCAACACCATTGTCGCCGGTGAAACAAAAAAACTCACAGATCTGTAAAATTACTTTCAGATCTGTATTTCTCTTCAAAATTATTTATACTTGTGGATACAAATTAAACATTTCATTTGTATTCTTTGTGCGTAGTGAATAATCAAATATGCTATTGATGACGGTTTGAGATAAAATGACATTGTGATTGGTGTTGTGATAAGAATAGTGAAGACAAACATAGAGTAATCATTTTTTTCAACGAATTTTGAAAAATTTAGGCAATATAATCATGAATTTTATGAGTAAATAATTATGAGGTTTTCAATAGAATTCATTATCTTTCTAAATTTTTTTTCTCAATAATCTTCATTAATGGATGCTCGGATGAGTTTGAGCAAGAAGATTATGAAGTTAATTAAATTAAAATATTATTTATCTTTCGATGGAAACCATCTTCTTTTTCACTTCCTTTCTATTTTTTTAGATTTCTTATGTAAGAAGTTTGAATATGTGTCTAAAGAACAATAATTAATAGTGACAAAGTTGTAAAGAACTATTGAAGAAGATGTCAAAATAAAAGAAATTGTGAAAACATTTAAAAAGAAATTGAGGGCACAAATTAAAAACAAAAAAAATTATTATTGATATAATTAATATATTAAAAATTATATTACTTAATGATCAATAAGATAGTGCCACACGATTAAATTTTTCATTTTAATATATTTTTTTTCTTTTTCTCACGCACTTAAAGGAAGGTGAAGGTATTTTCTCTATTATGTCATCTTCAAATGAGATATTAATACCACTTTAAATAAATATAAATATGTAATAAATTGTTCGAATAGTTAAAATATATAACTAACTTTTTTGAGATAATTTGAAGAGGAATCTATCCCATTTCCTTATATATAACTTGAAGTCTTATTTATTATAAGATTTAAGTGTTAATTATAATGGTGGATCCGATAATTTTAAGCCTTAAAAAAAAAATACGACAA